CAATTCTTCGGCGCTCAGCCTTCCTTATGGTCCAGCTTTCACAGCCATACATTGCAACTGGGAAAACCATAGCCTTGACTATACGCACTTTTGTTGGCAGGGTGATGTCTCTGCTTTTTAGTATGCTGTCTAGATTTGCCATCGCTCTCCTCCCCAGGAGCAAGTGTCTTTTAATTTCTTGGCTGCAGTCCCCGTCTGCGGTGATCTTGGAGCCCAGGAAAATAAAATCTGTCACTACCTCCATTTCTTCCCCATCTATTCGCCAGGAAGTGAGAGGACCGGATGCCATGATCTTAGTTTTCTTGATGTTGAGTTTCAAGCCAACTTTTGCACTCTCCTCCTTCACCTGCATCAAGAGGCTCTTTAGTTCCTGTTCACTTTCTGCCATGAGAGTGGTATCATCTGCATATCTGAGGTTGTTGACATTTCTCCCAGCAATTTTAATTCCAACTGATGATTCATCTAGGCCCGCCTTTCTCATGCTGTGCTCTGCATATAAGTTAAATAGGCAGGGCAACAGTATACAGCCTTGCCAAACTCCTTTCTCAATTTTGAACCAATCAGGGGTTCCGTGCCCAGTTCTGACTGTTGCTTCTTGACCCACATATAGGTTTCTCAAGAGAGAAATAAGATGGTCAGGTACTCCCATCCCTTTAAGAACTTGCCACAATTTGTTGTGATCCACACAATCAAAGGCTTTAGCATAGTCAATGAAGCAGAAGCAGATTTTTTTCTGGAACTCCCTAGCTTTCTCCATGATCCAGCAGATGTTGGCAATTTGATCTCTAGTTCCTCTCCCTCTTCGAAAACATGCCTGTACTTCTGGTAGTTCTTGGTCCGCATACTGCTAGAGCCTAGCTTGTAAGATTTTGAGCATAACTTTGCTAGCATGTGAAATGAGTGCAATGGTGCCGTAGTTTGAGCATTCTTTGGCGTTGCCCTTCTTTGGGATGGGAATGTAAACTGACCTTTTCCAATCCTGTGGCCACTGCTGAGTTTTCCAAATTTGCTGGCATATTGAGTGTAGCACTTTTACTGCATTGTCTTTTAAAATTTTGAACAGCTCAGCTGGAATATTGTCACCTCCGCTAGCTTTGTTGTTGCTCAGACTTCCTAAGGCCCATTGGACTTCACATTCCAGGATGTCTGGCTCCAGGTCAGTGGCCACCCCATTGTGGTTATCAGGGACATTAAGCTATTTCTTGTATAGTTGCTCTGTGTAATCTTGCCACCTCTTCTTAATCTCTTCTGCCTCTGTTAGGTCTCTGCCATTTTGGTCCTTTATCATGCCCATCTTTGCATGAAATGTTCCCTTCATACCTCCAATTTTCTTGAAGAGATCTCTGGTCCTCCCGATTCTATTGTTTTCTTCTATTTCTTTGCACTGTTCATTTAAGAAGGCATTCTTATCTCTTCTAGCTATTTTCTGGAATTCTGCATTCAGTTGGGTGTATCTTTCCTTTTCTCCCTTGCCTTTCGCTTCCCTTCTTTCCTCAGCTATTTGAAAAGCTTCCTCAGACAGCCATTTTCTTTCTTGCATTTCTTTTTCTTTGGGATGGTTTTAGTTGCTACCTCTTGTACAATGTTGCAAACCTTCGTCCATAGTTCTTCAGGTACTCTGTCTATCAGATCTAATTCCTTAAATCAATTTGTCACGTCTACTGTATATTCATCAGGGATATGATTTAGGTCATACCTGAGTGGCCTAGTGCTTTTCCCTACTTTCTTCAATGTAAGCCTAAATTTTGCAACGAGAAGCTCATGATCTGAGCCACAGTCAGCTCCTGGTCTAGTTTTTACTGACTGTATAGAGCTTCTCCATCTTTGGCTGCAGAGCACACAGTCAATCTGATTTCTGTGCTGACCGTCTGGTGATGTCCATGTGTAGAGTTGTCTCTTGGGTTGTTGGAAAAGAGTGTTTGCTATGACCATTGTATTCTCTTGACAAAATTCTACCAGCCTGTGCCCTGCTTCATTTTGTACTCCAAGGCCAAACTTGCCTGTTATTCCAGTTATCTTTTGGCTTCCTACTTTAGCATTCCAATCCCCCATGATGATAAGGACATCATTTTTGGGTGTTAATTCTAGAAGGTGTTGTAGGCCTTCATAGAACCAGTCAACTTCAGCCTCTTCAGTACCAGTGGTTGGGGCATAGACTTGGACTACTGTGATGTTGAATGGTTTGCCTTGGATTTGAACTGAGATCATTCTGTCATTTTGGAGATTGTATCCCAGTACTGCTTTTCCTACTCTTTTATTGACTATGAAGGCTACTCCATTTCTTCTGAGGGATTCTTGCCCGCAGTAGTATACCTGATGGTCATCTAACTTGAATTCACCCATTCCTGTCTATTTTAGTTCACTGATTCCTAAGATGTCTATGTTCAGGCTTGTCATCTCTTGTTTGACCACATCCAGCTTGCCTTGATTCATAGATCTTACATTCCAGGTTCCTATGGAGTATAGATCTTTGCAGCATCGGACTCTCCTTTCACCACCAGATGCATCTGCAACTGAGTGTCCTTTCGGCTTTGACCCAGTCGCTTCATTCTTTCTGGCGCTACTAGTACTAGCCCTCCGCTGTTCCCCAGTAGCATATTGGACACCTTCCAACTTGAGGGCCTCATCTTCCGGTGTCATATCTTTTTGCCTTTTGGTACTGTCCATGGGGTTTTCATGGCAATGGTACTGGTACTTATTGATTAGCATGTATAGTGATCTCGTCTGCTTGACCCCACTCCTCAGGCTTCCCTGGGCTTAGCTAAAATCTTCTGGGGAGGGAGGAGTGAATTTTTCCATATTGTTGTGAGCCAGTCCTATTGCAAAGGCAAAGTATTTCGGGGTGGAATGGATTTGAATGGGAAATCAACACCTATGAACTTAGGCCTATTCCTGAATGTGAAGACTGCTTAAACTATTTGGTTGATATGGATTAACACAGCTACCTGTATTTTACACATTAGCTTGGGGTATGGCTGAAGGAACTGCTATGATGAATATCTGCTGTTCAAATTTTGCCAATACACCAGTTGAAACACTTTAGGGCACAGCCCAAAGCATGTGTAGAGGTTCTACAGTTCCCATGCTGGCTGGAGAATCATGGGAGTTGTAGGATTAAGTTATGTCCAAACATGCGTAAGATACAAAATGAAATGCATCCTGTAAACACTTACATGAGCATTTTACCAGATTTAAAGGCTACCGTTATCAACGCTATTTTGTCTAAAGACATGCCACTTTAGCTGCGCTACTTGAGGCTCCTTTTACTTTAACAACATGGTGTCTCCAAGTGCTCCATAGGAAATAACAGATGTGTAGAAGATCAAAGGACAAGCCAAGTGCTGAAAGGCCCTTGTCATCAGAGGTTAACCCACGGATGGGCTTTTTCTTTTAACCCTGTTGATTTATCAGTCACAGAGTGTAGTGTGTCTGTCAGTTTGCAGACATTAATTGCACCATTCATTCTTCATTACAACTTTTTTTTACCTTGCAGACTATTTTGGGATCATGGCATCAAGGAGTAATATTGTTTGGAAACTCCCAATTTTTATTAACTGTCCCTATTTATTTCCAAAAAGAAAATTTGCTGGAAAATACAGAATTTAAATACCTAAGTATACAGAATGTAAATACCTAAGTTGCTTTGAGCTGCATTGAAAGATATTCTATAAAGAGCCCTAGACGTGGTACCAAAATCATGGTTACTGCTTAAAACAGTATCTATAAATCTATTCTTCCCTTCCTATCAATAATATCTGGTAGAATTTATTTGGTGTGTGTCCTGCATTGCCTCATCTCCAGCTGCCATTGGCAGTGAAAGACACAATACTGGTATGTATTTCTAGATGTTACAAAGGGGAGCATTCAAAAACACAGTGGCTGCTTTAATATCAGTTGCATGTTTACAGTCTCATCCGCTTTGGCCCTAGGCATCATGTAAAGCATCAAGAAAGCAAGAATCTCAATATTTTCAACTAGAAAAAAAGTATTTAGAAACTATTTTTGCATATAAGTGTGAGGCAGGGATAATATAGCTTGGTTCTAGACAATTGTTGCGTGGTACGACTATAAGCCTTTCACATTTTTGATATTGCGGCACGCTGTCAGCCATAAAGTAGACAAGGACTATCTCCCTGACACTTGTTTCAATGGTTACACTAATTTCATCGCTTCTGGTCTTCAAGTGCTGGTTCTGGGTTGCAGCAACAGGTTGAAATGAAAATGGCTGTGTTAGTTTACTGTGGCCTTAGAAAGAGAAAACTGTGGAATCTTGAAATCAGACTAAATGTGTGACTCATGCATAAAGGAGCTATGTATAATGATTTTATTTATCTTTATGTAACCATGTGTGGCCCTGATTTGGATTGGTACTGTAGTGCTCTGGGTTGAGACCACAGGAGGGTTAACTCCCCCCACCACATTTTTTCCAGTTTAAATTTTATTTCCTTTTAACCCCCTCCCCCATTTGTAGGAGGGGACAGAGGTACAGGGGAGTTTCCCACCCCCAAATGCTGTGGTTCTGATCTGAATTGGGGCCATTCATGAAATACCACCCATTTTTAGAAAGAGCGATCATGATGTCAAATGATAGCAGAGAAAGAATACATCTGAATCCAGGCCACTGATCAGGTCTCTTTGGAATTATCCAGACAGTAGAAACACCACTGCTACTGCCATCTCTATGCCATGGTTTTAAAGTGTGTCTGGCTGTTTGTGTTGCAGATGGATACTTTTACTCTGGAACTGCTTCTGATTTCCTTGGGAAGGATACTGCATTAACACGGTCACTGGGCATATCACAAGACCATCATTACATCCGGACGGATATCTCGGAGCATTACTGGCTCAGCGGTAAGAGCGAAGCATATTGCTGTAGAATCTCTCTTTCATAGCTCAGAAACCTATTTTACTAAGTAGAGTCATGCACAGGCAGTGGAAGCCTTGCGCATTTCCGGCTGGTGCCCCAGGCCCAACCCAACTTTTTGTGGCATTCTGATAATCATCTGCAACTGCTGAGCAGAATGCCTCTCATTTACTTCTCCACCCCACTGGTTCCTTGTTCATAGTAAACATGTTCATGGGCAACTGTCCCTGACTTTGTAGGCAATGGTTTACTGCTCAAATAAGTAGCAATGGATTGCACACTGGTGCTCCTACCCAAATGAGAAGCCATTACAACAGTCTGGTGAAACATAACAGTACCTAGAAAAAGAACCTTAGTTGGACTCAAGCCATTTCATCTATCTCTAGCCTGATTCCATGTTAATTTCACCACAGTTTTGCACAAGCAGGGGGAACTGCTTATAGCTGTGAATCCTAAGAAATACTCAAGTCATGCGAAGTAGTAATGCACAAATCTCACCCGTGCAGCTGCATTTTGTGCAGTTCATTTTGTGAACAGATCTGACTGCATGTGCAATGACATGTTGTTGGGTAGAGAAATGTGCTAGGGGCCCTGATTTGCATGGCATCCAGAAAAATGAATGAGATTCATTATTTGGGCAAGCAAGTGTCCCAAAAATGTAACAGGGACCTGAAAAGTACCTTCCAGCTGTGCAGAAAGCTGCAACACCACAGGGCTTGCCCTGGGACTGTTTCTGTCTTAAATTAGGGTAGGCTTCCCCAGCAAGATGTCCTCCTGATGGGCTGGATTGCAACTCCTATAATTCCCAGCTAGCATAGGCAATGGCCATGTATCACCTGCCTTATCTTCCCCTTGCCACACGTTAAAGGAGACCCACCTGAATTACAGCACTGTGGAGAAGAGCCAGGCTGGCCCCAAAGGGGCTACTCCCTCAGACTCTGGTCCCAAAGCTCCATGATGCAGTTTCAGGGAATTCCTCTGGTCTCTTGGTGCTCCTGAGCAGTCACCCATGTTTTACGCTGTTACTTTCCCCTGCAACCTTGTTGCGTTGACCAACTTGCTTTTTTCCTCTTCCCATGCATTAAACAGTGTAAGTTAAGCACCCGCTGCACCCCCAAGCAACCACTGCTAATCTGGGTGTTGACCAGCCCTTACATGAATGGCTGCTCCTACCCCGCAACATGAGGGTGGGCAAGTAAGGGCCAAACAACTGACAATGAGGCTTGATGGAGCATCAACATTAGTGTGTTCAGAACTCGGATGGTGTGAACAGACATGGTGACTGGCCTGACAAATCTTCAAATCTCGGGGGAAAGTAAGGACACCAGAGTAGATTTGATGGGTATGTTGATTCTACTGCTATTTAGAATCCTTCCGAACTCACTCTTTATTCTATCCAATGCATTTCTGCTGCCTAGCAGCTGGATGTGCAGATCAGCTGCAGATCAGGGATGCACCTGTGTAAGTTTATACATTTTGGATACACAACCCATTCATGCCCCCACTTCTCTAGAAAATGATTTCCAAGAATCTGCATATAATTTCTGCAGTGAATGAGACTATGGGATGGAAAAGTTCCACAATAATAATAAAAAAAGAACCAGATCAATTTCACAGGAAAGTAACAAATCACCTACGGATCCAAGTACCATTATTTGGGGTCTTGTTGCAATTAATGTATTTAATCTTGTAATCAGTTGTTTGCAAGTAAGAACCAGTTTTTTATATTGCCGTGAAGCACTGGGCTTGAAATACCACCCCATAGTTAAGACGTCTCTCTTTTGGAGCATACAAGTACACATAATGGCTTTAAGAAGCAGTCTAAAAGTCACTAAGGGAGCATTAAAAGTGTTTCCTGACCAAAGTACTACTCTTTTGTTTCTATTAAAAATCCTTTTAAAAAACTAATGAACCCTTTAAAAAATGCCTCCGTCTATCCACACATACACCCCTGCCACACATACGAACAGACTTCCGGTGAAGCAAAACCCAAAAGCATGGAAATAAAGACAATTTTATATACAAACCTTCAACTTGGTGTTTAAATGCTTTTCTTTTGGCCGTTAATTGTCTCCTGCTTTGAGAGCATAGCTTCCCGTAATTCAAGGTTACTGTGTGGTTGTGACAGACGAGTTGCAAAGCAAAGATCTCCTAACTGTAAGAGCATGGGTGCTTCTCAGCAATGCAGGGAAGGGCTTTCGCATGTCTAGCAATTCCCCAGGAAGACAATTCTCTGGTTTTCACATTTTTCTTCTCTGGCAATTTTCAGGCCTTTGCATTTACTGAAGCTCGGTCTTTTGCTTTAGCATAAATGAGGAGTGGGCAGATCAGACTCGTTTTGATCCACGTTAGCTTCATATATATTCATGCATACATTCATTCACCTGCAAGTTTGTTTGCTTAAAAAAAAGACAAGGTGATTTTCCTCAAATTCTTAGTGCTTTACTATAAGCTTCCGTCTTTTGTGCCCATTTGGTCTGTGTTTCAAGCTGAAAGCTGCATAATCTCAAGATCTGCAGAATCAGAAGGCCAGTTGTGTTCTGACTGGCACATGAGTTTGCAAGGTGCAAGGCAGATTGGTGCAGATTGGTGTGTTTCAGATGGAATGAAACTATAGACTATGCCTCCCATCAGCCTGACAGAAGAAAAAGAAATGCAAGTGGCTGCAGGGAAGCAGGTTCCAGCCCGATGGCCACACAGGATGCCTCCGTATGTGCCACCGGCAAGGGCACTTAGCAGGGTGAAGGAAGGCACAGGCTCATTGCAAAGGTGCAGGGAAATTTTTGCAATAAGCTACTTGAGTGCAAAATAAAAGGGATGACTCCGGAAAGGAGTCAATGCTGCTGATAAGAGATCATGGGAAAGAGAGGCCAAGGTGGCAACGTTTGGCATTCCTGCACTGAAATAAAAGGAGAATCAGGAAAGAGACTGCAGGTAAAGGATATGTGTCAACTCCTCCATCAGAGGTCACAGGGAACCATCTCCTAACAGTCAAAGTGCGCAGAGGGAGAGGCGAAATGTGTTTGGTTCTAAATGCAAACCAGTGTAAAGCACACTTTGCAAATAAATATATGGACTAGAACTACAGTGCTGCTCTCTGATTTTTTTTTAAAGTGTGCAACATTGTGTACATTTTGGAAACTTGCAAAGGAATACATCCAGTGGCATGCACTTTGTCATATTGCCATATCATATACGTTTTAAATACATTGTAGCTGCAGAGTGACCTTGTTGTTCAACACCATGGTAATGTTACCTAATTTCTGCATTGCATTCCTTTCTCCTGTTTTACATTGTTCTAGGGGGCATGCATTTTTATATGTATTCCTTCAAATACATGCAGTTGGACTGGTCTTAGCTGGCTGCTGCAGCAGCAACTTCCCAAGCTGGTGTCCTATTGGTGGGTTGACCAGCTGGCTCCACTTGTCACTTTCTCCCAGCGCATGATGGACAGCCTTGTTGGCCATTGACTTGAGTGAGCAAGCAGAGGGGCAGGCAGCCCAGGCCGTGTGCTTTGGCAAAGCAACAAATGTCCATCAGTGCTCTGCTCACCTGATGATGCACAAATGATGTGGCTGCATCACAGGCCTGCAGTGCGTACATTCTGGGCAGTATTGTGAGTGGACAGTGGTGACTGTTTGCAAACAGATGTGTGTGCCACATGGCCCAGCCCACACTCACAACTGGCTCACCGTTTAGAGCTGAAGTGGAAAACACGAGATGCCAGCCCTGTGTACAAATGTATGCGCATATATATATATATATATATATATATATATATATATATATAGTTATATACTGAATAACTAAATTATCCCACCACTTAGTTAAATCCAAGGAAGAATTACATCTTGCACCTTCTCACAAAGATTAGAACATTCAGTTGAATGCTCCTGCAATTTTCAATATTTTGGGGTGTCTTTTAGGAGCAAAGTTCATCGGAATCTTCCCTATTCCGGATACATACAATCCAGACGATGACAAAATCTATTTCTTTTTCCGAGAAACTTCTCAAGAGAGCAGCACCTCTGACAAAACTATCCTTTCCCGAGTTGGCCGTGTCTGTAAGGTGAGCAATGTGGATTTATGGAAAATGAACTCTATCATTTTGTTTCCTAAGTAAATATGAATTGCCCCAGGGAGGAAATAACTTTGCCTGAAGTCCCGTCTAGGCTACATATAATAATATGGATTACTAATGAAGTCTAGAATTCTCTCAACTTGTCCTGCACTGTTGGTCTGATAAGTCTGCTGGTATTTTGGAATTCTAATATTTTCACAGTTGATAATGAAGTTAAATGGTAGCCAGTTTAATTACCAGTCACTGTGTAGTAAGAGTCTCATTCTGCATTCACAAATCACCACTAACCCAAACAAACTAATTTGGTCTTGTTTTTGCAGTCCCCCAGTCTGCGTTCACACCACTGCTTTTTTCATAGAAACTGGTTTGTATTTCTTCATCTATTCTACAGTTCCATTCCCACTCTCATTTTTATTTCCCATAATTCAAAGAAGCATTGGCTGCCCTGATGTTTCCCCTTGCCTGCAAGAACCTGTCCTGCAGATTTGTATTTTTCCTGCACCTTCTGACAACATATATTATGGCTGGAATGCCTAGAACTGCATTATTAGTTCCACTCACCAACAGAAGCTTTTGGTTTTTGTTTCTTACAATCAACTCCACATGGGAAGCCACATTTGAAACTGAGGGGCTGCTCCTTGGTAATAAAATAGCAAGGCTACAACTTTTAGACATTTCTGAACAATGTGATATCTCACTGATCTTCTTAAAACCTATGGGACATAACCTGTTCTTTATGGGTTCCGGATTATGCTTACCTGTACTGAATATCTTTAACCTCACAATGTTGATAAATATTTGCAGTTGTGTGGGAGGATGGATGGGTGGGTGGGTGGGAAGAAATTCCCAGGTCTGAGAATGAGCAGAACCATAAGCCCGGAAAGTTCAGGGGAAAACATTAAATGATTTAACTGATTTGCTGCCACGACTCTAGGGATGCATCCTCTTCAGGCAAAACATGTGTCAGCTTCTTCATCACACTCTGCAATTGGAGGCTTCAGATGTCTGCTTATTTTTGCTTGGGTTCCTTCACTTCCTGTTTTTCAGATTTTTTAAAGTTATTATTTTAGGGCGTTTTTTTTTCCTTTAATTTTTCTTCCATCCACACCACCCAAATCCCTAGTTTGGGTTTCTGTCATTTTTCATTCTGCATATTGTCAAGGGGGTAGAGTTATAAATTGAGAGGAAGTCCTTTCAGCATTCACAATCTGGCTGAAATGCATAATTTGACATGACAAATGGCATTTCTGATATTTGGCTTTTTTTAAAGGGAAATAAGAAGTAGTAATAGTTATCAGCAGTTTATCTGCAGTAGCTGGCATTTCTTTTTCTGCTTCAGGAAAAGAAATACGTTCCCACTAATATTGAATGAAGCACAGATTATGCCTTTGTTTCTGGTTTGTGTCCCTCAGTACGACCCCAGATTTGGTATATAAAATACAAATCAGAAAAGGTTTCTACACAAATACACACATAGTGATGGTATACTATGGATAGATTCGTAATAGCGAGTACAAATTGCAGTAGGGATGACTGTCTCGGTTTCCAGTCCATGCCATGGTCAACCATGTTCTCTCATAAGTCTACTCTGCCCTGTTTCCATAGGAATCTGTAAGGGCATCATCTAGTGTGGCTGCCTGTAGCCCTCCACCCTTGGAGGAGCACAAGCATACAATTGATCATGGCAGGAGCACAGAGGCAAGGCTGTGCCGCTCACTTTTTCTATGCTGCAAGAGGCATGGACAGTTGATTTAGGTGCTCTTTGCCCCTGATCACAAGGAAGAGGGGCTGAGGCACTGTTGGGATTCTTGGTGTCCTGGTTGAATCAGTCCCTAGGGTCCTGGTCCAGCCAAGACTCCTCACTTTAGATTCAAGAATACTTAGGAAGAAACAAAGCCACCTGTGTCAAGATGATAGAGAGCTGATTGAATATAGTGATGGAATATGGATGCCGAATATAATCAAGGGGAAGAAAGGTTACACCACTCTTGCCTATGGCTGTATTGGTTCCTTGAATGGGCTGAGGGATGCTCTGTGAGCCTTCAGAGTTGATGCTGAGCAACACATCAACTGCTCCCCACAAGCCAAGGACAAAACTCAATTCCTCTTTCCATGGATTCTGTAAATTTCCTCCCTCCCACTGCTTGAAAGTACTCACAGGCTTTAATCACCTTCACTTCCTGGAAGCCTGATGGAGTGTCATTCTCACAGCAGAAGCAGCCCTTATCTACAGAATGATTAGAAAGGCAGCTTCAAGGCAATTAGCTCTTCCTAACAGGCTGAAAGCCCCAAGGCTTGTCATGTCTACAAGAAGCCATTCTGGCTTTTGGACCCTGGGAAAGTTCACAGCCTACTTGTTGAACCTCAATAAGCTCCCTCTCATTCTTCCTGTAGAACCCATTCAAAATTCTGGTTAAAAACGTAAATGTACAATATGTGTGTTGTGTTTACCTAGAACTGGAAACCACTGTATGACTAGTATATTGATTGCTTTGGTACAGAGATTGGTAACTCAGTATCTGGGGCCAAATCCAGCCCCAGCAGCTTCAACATGGTCCCTAATTTAAAGAATCATACTTCATCCTGTCTCCATGCACTTCAGTCAATTGGATGCACTCCAAGACCAGTGTAATCCCCTCCATCTTGGTGTGGAAAGTAAAAATTTCCAAATACTTATTCTAATGTCAGGATGATTTTTGGCCCTACCTCTCCATAGTGCTGAAAAAGATGGGCCAAGCTTTAGCTACTCAGTGCTGTGTATAAGCGAAGACTCAAACAGATGAGAAAGAGCAGGCAAGGTTCATAAGGGAAGGGTTCTGCCTACATTTCTCTTGCTGGGTTTTGCTCTCATGGAAACAAGTCCATTTCTGAAGCTGACTGTTGCCTATGTTCCATTCAAAATGTGATGGATCCTGCTTAAAGTGAGTGGCTGGACAGGGCTTTACTAAATCCTGCATAGCTTAGCTGTATCGTTTCACTTGCTTTTCTCTGCAGAATTGGCTGTCTTATCAAATGAGCCTGACATGAAGCATAGCAGTCAAGCATTTATGGCAGGGTTGCATCCTAAGAGCTCTTGGTGCTGTCAGTGATATCCTGCTCCCTTGTCTGTCAGTGTGCATTTCTCTAACTATACAAAGGCTCCCCAGCGTCTTTGCTTTGCATGCTGCAAAGAAGCAGAGTTTCACTCCCCTGAGCATTCCTGGGATTTGTTCCTGGAATGCCACTGTGCTGTATTCAAGTGAAAGGAACACATGGAGTCTCAGCAAGACTCCATTTTGGTTTTGAAGAAGTCATTTGAGCAAGCAGATACACCCATTTTTCCCCTTAATTGGAGCTGGGTTTCTTCTTCTTTTTTTAATCTGACCCCCAGATGTGCACTTCCCAAGCTATGAACTTACCATGTAGCACATCTGTATTTATTATTTGCATGGCCTAGATAATTAAGTCACACATGTGAGAACTTTGTTTTGTCTTTCTTAGATGATTACACTGAGAAAGTCTAACCTGTCTATGATTTCACTTGGCTTGTGTTGTAAACACTGTCCAGCATGTAGATTGCAGTACTTTTTCAAACATCATATGCATCAAAAGATGTAGCACAAATTTAGATTTCAGACAGGCAACACAGGGAACTTTGGGTAGATAATATTCAAGAAACAAAAACAAAAACTCTGGAATATTTTTATATGGCTACTGTATTATTTAAAAATCACAATGCAGCAGAAACAGATATGAACGCTTTCAATGCTCTTTGGGGTGGGAGAGGATTGACTGCAAGATAGTCACAGGAGGGCAATTTCTGATAGAAGGGCAAGAAGGGACAGAAACTAATGAAAAGAAAAACAAAACACTTCTGCCTCAAACCCTCTGCGCCAACTCTACCCCAAAATTTCATCTGGTTCAGGCAACTGCTCAGATATTTTTAAAGTCACAACTTTTAGGCAGACCCCGGTCACTATCAGTTTGCATCAGGTTTTTTTTCCCTGCTCTATGGTGCTCATTAAGTGATCTTAAGTAGGAGAAAGAAATGAGTTTCCAGACACCTTAATTCCCTAACACATCTGTCTAATCCTGCCAACTTTGTAGCCAATCTACTTACTGAACATCTGGCCCAGAAATACTGCCAAATATGCAGACAGTAATTATTATTTTTATCATCCTCCTCCTCATCACCATTATCAACATCATCTGCTTGCTGATCCAGAACCAGTTCTTTGAAGGGTGCACTAGGCTAGATAACATTTGGGTGGGTTTGCCAATGAAACACCCCTTCCACCCCCCCCCCACTGCCTTTCCCACAGGCTTTTACTGGAAATGTCTCATGGACTTTCAAACTTATGGATTAATGTTTTATATCAATTAAAGACATCAAGAGATGGCATTTGAAAAAGCAGATGGTCATTCAAGTGATCTCATTTCCATGTCTGCTATCCCATAAACAGCCAAAGCAGGAAACATTCCGTACAGCTTGCCAGATGTTAGCGTTTGACTTGGATGGCGTGCACTGTTTTTCCCATCATGGAAGTCTATCGGCTGTGCTGAACTGTCAGGGTCTAGCAATATCTGGTAAATCTTGCGTGTGCATTTTCAAATGTCCATGCTCATGTCGCAGGATTTTACTGCGGTATGGGAAAAGGAGCTTCTGGAGGAAAGGGAAGAGAGTCCATCCCCTTTCCTTCCTCCTGAATCATGCCTGTATCTTTCAGACTGTGGAGGCTTGTGGCTCCGTATGTATCCGCCCTGGATTTTATTGCAAACATTTAAGGAGTGGACTGGATACACAGCCTTACTGGCCTTGGAACCACCAGCCTCCACTGGTGTCAGGGATGGGAGTTGTTAAATCTTATACATTCTTCCTTCCCACCCTTGATCCTCTTCTCTAGGATAATTAAGGCATTTGGGGCCTGAGCAGATTTATTTTTACTCACTTTTTGCTATATTTTAACCCACCCAATAAAAAATTTTATCCAGGCAAGTCACACACAGTT